CGCCAACAATAACACCCTCTTGCCCCTTTAATTGAAGTCTTTGCTTCAAAGTCTTGTTTTGTCTGATTTTGTATGACTTGTCTGATGCAATTTTGGATAAAATATCTGCAAACAATTCTAAGACAATTTGACCAATTTATCCCTCTCATGTCAACATTAAATATTCAGAGATTACTGGAGTTAAAGGTTAGCCTAGGGCAATAGGCAGACATGGTGATTTGCAGATGTGTTTGGAAGTACGCTCACTGTGCCTCTTGGCTGCTTTCTATCTTGAGGTGTTCCTGTCCAAGCTTCTTGTTGGATGGACCCCATTTTTCAATTCCTAATATCCTCCTTTTATTGAAGTAACGATTTAAAACACTGTACATGATTTAGAGGTATAGGATCACATCCTTTAGTTGTATATTACACAGTACCCTTTCCCCCCTTTATTGCAGTCTTTGTTTTAGTATTGTTTTGTCTGGTGTAAGTATGGCTTTACATTTTGTTTCCATTTGCAGGAATTATTTTCCAAACCTTTATTTTCATTCTGTGTTTGTCAGAAGTGGGTCTCATAGGCAGTATAGAGAAGAGACAAACTTATCCCCCACATTGTCACTCTGCTCTTTACTTGGAGTATTTAGTTCAATTACATTTAAGGATATTATTATTATTTATTGCCATTTTGTTGTTTTTTGGCTTGTTGGTAGTTTGTTTCTCATTTTCTTTTGATAGTCTCTTCAGGTTTAGAACCTATATCATTTTGTTTTGTTTCTAGTATAAGTTTTTGCTTTGTGGCTATGGTAAAATTCACATATAACATCATATTAACACATTGTCAGTAGCACTCTAAAACTTTGAAAACACTCTAAAACTCTTAAGAATAGCTTCAAGAATTTGAGTTCTAATGAATGCATAACCTCCTTTATGAGCAGTCTATCCCAAGGCCAAAGAAAACAAATTTTTTTCTCATCTCTAGTCTGTTCTGAGTGCTCCTACAGCCATGGACAACCATGAGTGTGGGGTACATGGGGAGTCTACTAATTCTAGCAAGGTTTAGTGTAAATGCAGAAATGGCATCTCCCACAGGCTCTGTCTCACAAGAGTTGTAACAGACCCTTCTCCTGTAGATGTTTTAAGATTATGTCATGGGTCTTTTTTTATGTATTTTCTTAGGGTAAATCTTTGCTCTTAAAGACTCTTCTAGCCCCTTTTGATCTCCTGTTCACAAGTCCCTCTGATTGTACAAAGGTATTTTGGGGGCCTATTTTTCCCTGATTCAGTTTACTTTGATTCCAGTGCAAGTTTCAGGGACTGGGAAACTCCTTACTCCTCAGGGAGAACCTATGTATTGGTGACCCAAAATGGGTCACCACATCAGGGTGGGTCGCTGCATCAGGGGTTTTTTGGCAAGATAACCTACCTCTCCGATCCAGTTTTTGTGTTGTCTTTTTGTCACTTTCGTGATCTTTTTACTGTGTTGTACAACTATTCTCAGATCTTTTTGAGACAATTATTCCATCCACAATTTGTATATGGTATGTGTGTGAAGAAGATAAGCCTAGTCTGTGTTACCATCTTGAACTATTTTTTTCTAAGACTCTTTCCTATAAAATTCAAAATTCTAAATAAGTAGCATTAAAAAATCTATTCTGACTAGTAAATTTTCAATTATTTCCATATAATTCAACTAGTAATTTGGATTTGTCATCTTGTTTTTAATTTTAAAAAATTTTAACTAATTTCAACTTGGGGGTTACATTCTTGCTCTTCTGTATGTGCATATGTTCAACTCATCCCTCTACTATGACATCTGTGCCGACAGACTTCCCCTCCCAGCCCCTTATGCCCTATTCCCTCTGGTAATCATTAAATCCAAAATGTACTTTTACTGTATCGTGCCTGTGTGTTTTGGTAGCTTGTATTCTGCAGATGAATGGAGCCATCTAGACTCTTTTTGACTATATAATCACCTCGCATTACATCCATTTTGTCCCAAAAGACACTATTTCATCTTTTTTCACATTTCTTTATCCATTTGTCTATTAAAGAGCAGTTAGGCAGGTCATGTTTTGTAAACTTGATTTCATCTTTTTTGTTTTTTGCCTACAACTCCATCTTTAGTTATTTTCCCTCAACTCTTTAGTGTTCTACTTTAATTACTATTAAAACCTCAGCTTTCATATTTGAATTAATCTATAAAGTTAATTATAATCCCTACACTCTTCTCTTAAAACGAACAGAACAATCTTATAACATTGTAATTCTGATGACCAACTATTAGTGTTTTCCAGCATTTTGATTTTAACCTTCTATATACCTCCAAGGTAGGTATTACTTACTCTGGTTTTATAGAGCTCACACTAATTTTTAGACTTGCCAGGATCTTTACCAATTTTCTTACTAAACATTATTTTTGTGTATCACTTCTTCTATTTTATGTGAGGCATTTCAGTATGTTTTCAGTAAGGATTTGTTGTCCTAAAGTCTCTCCTTAGTCTTTTTTTCTTTTTAAAGATTTATTTATTTATGCATTACAGAACTGGGATACAGGCCAGAGATGCAGGGGTGGTGAGAGGATTCACCAGAGACAGTGGGAAACAGAACAGGCCGAATGACAAAGTACACTGCTGAGGGGAGCAGTGGGCGGGGTCAGGAGAGGTCTGCTGTGCCATGTGGGTCACCTCCAGGGCAGGCAGGAATCGAACTCATGCTGAAGTGGCTTTAGCTTCTTAATGCTGTGCTTTAACCCACTGCGCCACCAGGGAGGGCCCTCTCCTAGTCTTTTACTGAAAAATTTGGTTCACTTTGATTCCTGAAAATTTAGTACAAAATTTAGTGTCTAGTTTCCTCCCTCCAGCATTTTAATGCTACTTTTCTGGCTTTATGGCTGCCATAGTAGTTCAACCATCAACTGTTCTTTCATAGGTTGATGTCTTTACCTTCAGATAGCTTTTAAGATTTTTCTTGATTTTTGTTGTCCTGTAGTACTGTTATTCTTGGTTTGTGGCATTTCCAAAGTTTGAAGATTCATTATAATTCATTAATCATTTTTAAGGTTGTCTTGTTCATACATATTCTTTCTCTCTTGGCGTACAGTGAATGTTATCCACTTTCCATCACTTACATTGCGTTCAGAGTAATTTCTTTACATTTATTCTCCAGTTCTACGTATGATTTCAAGATTCATTTATTTATGCATACAGAGCTGGGGTACAGGCCTGACGTGCAGGGGCGGTGAGAGGATTCATCAGAGTGGGGAGCAGAACAGGCCAACTGACGAAGTACACTGCAGAGGGGAGCAGTAGGCGGGTCAGGAGAGGTCTGCTGCACCATGTTGGTCACCTCTGGGGCTATGATGTAACTTATGCTGAAGTGGCTTTAGCTTCTTAGTGCTGTGCTTTAACCCACTGCCAAGGAGGGCCCTCTACATTAGATTAAGTATTGTGTTCTTTAATTTCTGGAAGTTCTACTTCATTATTTTGTTAGCTGTCTCTATTAACTCTCTAATAATTCTGCTATTATTGCCTCTGATTCTCATTCATGGTGACTTGTTCCCCTGGGTATTTTCATTAGTATTTTATATGTGGGTATCCTGTATAACACTGATCCAGAAAGTAATATTTTCTTTCTGCCAAGCACTTGAAAAATACTTTTCCCATTAAGTTTACAGCTCTTTAGGTAGTGTAAATTTGAATCTCAAACTGATGAGAGGGTAGCTCTGAGTAACAGATTCATAGAAATTACTTCCATTTTCTAAGCCCAGAACCTGTGACAAGGAGTATTCTTTCTTTTCCTAATGTAGTCTTTATTCGAGGGTAAATCTCTAAGAATCTGGACTATGTATGTGAATCTCAATTCAACTCAATTTTTGTAGTGTTTGATAATTGTAACTGTGTCACCTTTAAAACACAAGTACTCTGGTTACAGGAAACAAGAACTATCTTTACTCCCATAGGTCAACCATACATCATGCTTGTTTGACTTTCTCTACTTTGGCCTCAGTATACATACTTAGTTATATATTTCAGAGGTTACTTACCCTGTATCATCCAACATTCTTTCGTTTTACAATAGCGAGGCTTCTTTCAATTTACCAAACTGGCTGAAATAGTTTCTCTAACATGTAAGGGGCAAGTGCATACTTCCTATCTGCTAGTTCTGTAATATAAGAGATCTGGTAATAGCTATGTAAGATAAGGTGTCTTATTACCCTAAATAGATTAGGTGGGGAATCTCAGAATGATTAATTAAGGTCACTGTGCAGAATCAGAGCTGAATTGCTTATTAAAGCCCATTTTTCTATTATACACCAGGGTTAGCAAAAAACCTGTAGAAAGTATTTTAGGCTTTGCAGGGTATTTGGTCTGTTGCACATAATCAATTTTACTATAGTATATAAGCAGCCATTGAAAAACAAACAAATGAGCATGGCTGTGTTCTCATAAAGCTTTATTTAAGGACATGGAACTCAATTTCCTATTTTCACATGTCACAAAATACTGATATTCTTCTGATTTTTTCCAACCGTATAAAAATATAAAATGTACTCCTAAGAATCATTAGCCATTGTTTGTCAACTCTGCTCTAATCACTTTTTGAAAAGTGAGGTTTTCTAATGTCATTTCTTAACTCAGTAAAGGGAAATTTGACAGACATGGGAAAAACAGAATGGAAAAGTGCTTTTGGAACCTAGGTGATGGAGTCTCAAATTCTGCAATTGTTTAAATATCTATTTTGGCCTATCTATAAACAATAAGCTCATTTAGGGACTATCTGAATATAAATACTTTAATATATTAAGTTGATAAACACTCAGCTATTGCCAAATACCTTATTTTCAGATTATATTAAAAGTGGGCTCAAGATAGCAGTTATAATGAAATGCTAAATAGACAGGTTGTGTGATTTAACACAATTACCAATTACTTTTAATTTAGTATAAGAAAAAGTTATAAAAATATTTTGTATCCCTACCTTTCTGTTCCAATAGCTAATATTCATATTCCTTCCTCTCCTAGAACCACTTTGGTGATCTGGATGGTGGCCACTACACTGCTTTCTGCAAGAACTCTGTCACCCAGGCCTGGTACAGCTTTGATGACACACGAGTCAGTGAGATTCCAGATACTTCAGTTCAAACTACTACAGCGTATCTCCTGTTCTATAGCTGCCAGCCCTTTTCTATTCCTATACAAAAATGCAAGAGCTAGAAAAATGGTGTTTCCGGAAATTTGCAAAAACAAGCAACCAGAAACTAGTACTTTGGCTTTGCTTTGTCATTAAAGTCTTGCTTCTTTCACTGACATTTTTTGTTTTCTTGCATAATATGCAACCTTTTAAAAGATAAGTTAAATATCAGCTGTGTCATGGTCTACTGGAAAAAGCAACATGACAATAATGCAGTGCTATTGGTAGGCGGCTTTCAAAGTACTACAGATTATGATACATTAACTATATAACTTAAGTGACTTTAACTGATCAGATAATGTAGTCAAGAAGTTCTAAGTACCTTACACAAATTTAGTACAAGAAAAGTTGTCAATTTTCTATTTCCAATCCCACCCTTTTGTTTTGAGAGTCTACTAATTTGTGACATCGACCAGACTCATCTTTAGGATCCTGTTTTATTGATCTAATTTATAGCTGTGGAATCCCTGAGGTAAATAAACTGTAAGTTCCTCTATCTCTTCTAAATCATTGCTTTGTAAAGAGGGGGTTCAGTGTACTTCACTTTGTAGTCATGCCTGACTCCTGTTCCTTAAGTTAATTGTAGGAATTCTATTGTTAGAACAAGTCTAGGTATTCAGTTATTACCTTGCACTGACTTGCACTTATCACTTATGATTCCTGATATAACAGAATAAGCAAACTAAATTTTAAGTGGATATAGTATATAAAACCTGTAGTTCTACTGTCTTAAGTTACCTAACATTCTTTAATGTTATATCTAACATTCAAGACAGAACACTTAACAGGATTTTAAGTAGTTATTTCATTAAGATTTTAATATAGGTGTAAATGAAAATTCTTATTTAAAAAATTAAAGAAAAGTTCCATTTATTTTTTTCAGAGTAAAGATTTAGTGCACAAATACAGCCCAAAGCCAACAGCTTTGCCCTGTCATTTCCCTAAGAAAGCACTGTTGTTACTTAGAATAGGCCAAAAGGAAAAAAAAGCAATCCTCTGAGTTCTAGGCTTCAAAAAAGGACCAGATATTATACTATGTACATTGATTTGATGTGCAAGTGTGCAATAAATATACACATACATTCCTATCTGCTTCTCTTCATTCTAGAATATTCATAATAGATCAAGCTGGGTCTTAGAAATGTGAAAAGGCCATACAGTGGAAAAGGATAGAGTGGTTTTTAGGCCAGAAGACTAATAATGCTAAGCTAGTTAGTTATTTTAACTTTGGAGCAAACTATAAAAGTTGTTTTGAAAGAAACAGTATCTGTAAGGAGTGCTTACTGCCATATTTCTTACATGTTATTAGTCAGTTTCTTTGATAATAGCACTGACCTGAAATATATGGGGACAGTAAGACAGTTCCCACTGTCCTAGAATTCCTCTAGTGGCCAGCTATAGCTATCCAAAATCTTAAGCATTTCAAGAGTTGTGTTGCTCAGCCTTTGAAAGATAACTAACTTATAACCTACTTCTCTTTATGTGGCTACATCAGTTGCTCGTGGTCCCAAAGAAGTATAAAAGAGGATATAAGCTGCTGAAGACTTCACAGAAGAAACGGAGATATCAGAAACTTCATGATCATCGAACTTAAACCACCGCTGTCTTGCTGCATTTTTACAATAGGCAGTATAGTGGCCTCCATCCAGCCCACCGTAGTGATTCTGTGTCAAATAAGACAGAAAATCAATTCAAGTATTTTAAATGTCAAAAGTATTTTCGGTTCAATGAGATACTTACTGAAACGGAAAACAAGTTATATTTCTTCAAATTGTTCTTTGGACCAATAACATACTGTGAAAGGTCAAGATTTTCTAATGGGAAGTCCACAGATGTCTGTAATTTTTGTTTCCACCTGCCATCATAGGAAAAACTGCGGAGCAAAACATTACAGCAATTATATTGACAGATCAGAAATTAGAAAATCCAAATTCATTTATTAAGAATTTTAATAATGGCTGACCTGAACATTTGGTTTCGTTTTCAAACGAGCAAACAATAGTGACTTGCTCAAGATCAAAGAACTACAGTGGCAGAAGCATCTGTAATCCACAAATGGATCAAATCTATCTTACCATTACACAGCTAGACCCTTACTCACTGGTTGGAAAAATCTGTGTGCAGTCAACGATGGCATCATTTAACTTTTTATACTTATTTTTACTGATTTCTTAAAAAACGATTACATGAAATAATGTATTGTCATTATGCTCTGTTGCAAACACTAAGGCAAACTAATAATCACTTCTGCTTATTTCCCTAGAGCTACCCTAGCCTTTCTTTACTAGGCAACAATGTTACCTAAATTAATTCACCAAGACTGTAGGAAACAGGTAAGATGCTGTGTCCCCTTTACCGTTTCAGATGCACTAAAAGCACAGGTGGCAACTTCCAGATTTCTATCTTTTTCAAAGAATCCCGTCGAGCTCTACAATGACTACAGTAAAACCTGTTATTATCTGTGAGCTTTTCTTCTTTGGAGAATAACCTAAGGCAATCCTGGAGAAAAACACAAATAGATTTCTTCAATAAATTAGAATAAACAGCTCCTACTGCACAAAGTTTATGATTTAGTGACGAACACACATGGAGACTGGTAAGTGTTGCGTGCCCTAAGAGAACAGACAGTAATCCTTTACCTTTGTACCTGATGCAGAAAGGCTAGTTATCATAAGTTACCTAAGTCATACTTATATTGTGTGAAAATGTTATCATATATCTCCATGTAGTGGCAAATTCTTCTAAAACATAGACCTAAAGTCAACATACAATTTTTGAAATTAAAATATTTAAATTTGTTTAGAGTTGATTTTCAAATATTTTTTTCTAATGAAAAAATGTTTATAGAGTATTACTAAGTATAAATACTGAGTAAACGTCCATATGCACATTTTGTTCAAAATACCATTTTTTCTATCTTGAACTTACCTGTAATGTACATTTACTTGTGGATGCTAGTGGTAGAGACAAATACATAAAGGCCTCAAATGTCCTAGACTTTTTGTGACAGGTGAGGCACTGTACTGTGGATTTGAACTGACCCTGAAAAAGTGCAACAATAATAGATTCATTCAGCTGCTTATGTTTCTGCCAAGCATGTTCTGCAGCTTTAAAGTCATCAAGATGATCATTATTTTCTTCTTTATGTCTCTTCCGGTTATCGGCCTGGAGGTAAGAGTATTAAAATATGAAATTAGAATATATTAAATATACTTTGCAAAGTTTAGAAACACTTCTGGTTCTTCTAAGGAAAGTTGTGTTGCCAAAAATTCTAGACAACCTTCCATGCCCCCTAAAGCTACATTATCAAGAGTGGTGACTTAATGGAATTTCTTAATACACCTTTATTTTAAAAGCTTAAAAATGTGTAAAACTGGTGATCTGAAAGATAGCTTGATACTAAAAAGCCACAGCATACACAGTGGAGTGTGGTCATTTACGTACAGATAAATTAACGTATAGAGTATAATATATGTAATGTAAAATGTCAAAATAAAGATGTAAGTATATGCAAATTGTATGTAGTTTTCTAATATATCAGATTTTTTTAGTTTCATACCTTGGTACAATCACTATTTCAATAAACTGGTAACTGAGCCATTATCATTTTATATCCTTTGTTTTACAATAGTTTTCCCACCACCGAAACACCCATAGTCCTCCACCACAGTACAGAGTCTTTGTAACACAGAAAAATCAAATGCCTTACTTTATTTAGATCTTCATGGAGACCATCCATTAGGAATAGAAGCAGTTCTTGTGAATCTTGTTGGCTGTATCCTGCAAATTGATCATTGATCTTCCCAATGGTGATTTTAAAGTCTTTTGGACTAATGTACCTGTACTGTCCTGTCCACAGGGCTTTCATGATTATGCCAAATTCTTCTGCCACTTCACCTTTATGCCCCAACAAATTTGACCTTTGCAAATAAAATTAGAAAATAATTTTTTTAAAATTCTAGGTATAGTGGGTTCTTGGTATCTACCAAACTTTCATACTCTGATCTTACAGTAACATAGTTATCCCTAGGTTTCTTTTTTTATAACTTTTAAACTTGTTCCTTTTTAGTTGCCAAAGCTGTACCATCTTACTCAATAGACTGCAATTTATGACAGTAAGATTTTGCCTTCTTTCACCACTCATTTTCAGTATATTCTTTTCCAGCCAAAGGATCTTTTTCTCTAATTTTCCCTAATTTGGATTTGCTAAGGCTGGGTGTTACAGTGTGGCTAGCTCACCCTTTTAATATTGCAAAGAATACAAAATTTCCTTACCTGTTAATATCATCCTGATAACAGTTTCTGTTGAAATAATCAGCCAAATGTGGAGCATTACATAGGCACTGCAGTATGGAGTTCATGTAACAAGTATTTCCCAAATTACGTAGTCCAGTGAGAGCTGGTCCAGATCCTCCAAAAACTGGATTGAGGTTTCGAATCTGAGACGCAGAAAGCCTTGTGATCTCAGCTTTAGGATAGCATGTTGGCCTAAGGATGAAAATGTATATGAAGATGTCTTAAAATGCAGAATAACTGAAATTAACATTCATACTACAAAGAAGAAAAGACTCTAGAATCTGCTCAACAGCCCACAGTTAATGTTAACTCATGTGGTACTGGGTCTTATAAATCATTTAATGTCCAGATAATTGGTTATATTCTCTGACCCTCTATGAAACAAGTACCTTGAACTGTGACATAGGTCCTTGGTTCTTGACACCTGAGAGAGGTTCTCTGGTCTTACATGAAGACAAGACTCTAAAGCACTTATAGCAATCTTAGTTAGCTTACCACAAATGTTTACACTTAACCAGAATACCAAACAGGTAAGTAAAGACATATTACTGTGCAGTAGGTGTCAACAAAGATGGAGGTTCTCTGGGTACTATTACCTCAATTCCAGAAGTGTGCTGACATGTATGGTACTCCAGTTACCTTAGCCACAATTCAAAACAATCACACTGAATATCACAGAAAGATGTACTGAATAGCATTAACCTACACAATGCTCCTAAGACACTTTGTTAGCAAATCTGGTTCATTTGCAGACATTCTAAAACTGCTATAGCATTAAGAAAAACCTTAAATGACAGGTCTTCTATTGCCAAATTTAAAAAAATCTCTAAATAGGCCCGCCCTGGTGGCGCAGCGGGTTAAAGCACAGCACTAAGAAGCTAAAGCCACTTCCACATGGGTTCGATTCCCGCCTGCCCCGGAAGTGACCACATGGCGTGGCAGACCTCTTCTGACCCACCCACTGCTCCCCTCAGCAGTGTACTTTGTCGATCTGCCTGTTCTGCTCCCCACTCTGTCTCTGGTGAAGCCTCTTAAATCTTAAAAAAAAAAATCTCTAAATAAGTCCCCATTTATAAAGATCTGTGCTGAGGAGGAAAAATTAACTTTTAAACAAAGTACAGAATAGAAGTGGCAAGACTGAGTTTCAAAAAAAATGAACTACTACTGGTGGCTACTTGTGAACAGAATAATCTATAGCATACTGCCTTAAAATTTGTTAGCATATCAAAGGAATATAAGAATGTGCTTATATAGCTATAAAAGCATGCACACAAATTATAGGAGAAAAAACAAGGACATTTAACATTTTTTTTTCCCCTCTGGAAAATACTACTGGCTGCTATAGCTATTCACAGAAATTTCTGATTCTCTGCCTTGAAAAAGCTTATGTTTAATGTAGAACAAAACAG